AGAAGATGGTTTCCGCAAATTCCATTCGCTGCTTTCCAGTAGTAACCGGGGTGCTCATTTGAACTCAACCTATAACGCTCAAAGGAAACCAATTAGTTAGACTTTTTTACGTTATAGATGCGGATCCTAGCATCCACACTATCTCCTTTGAAAGTTTTTTCTTCTAGATGCGTGCCATAAATTTTTTCCTCGTTGCTGGTGTTGTGTTCGCCGATTATCAATCCCAAAACTCCGGCTATGAGAATGCTGAAATTGCTCAACCTACACCTGAAGCTCCACTAAGCGCTGATGGAGGAGATCAACAAGCATACAATTCGGATGTAGGATCTGATGGAGGACTGCCTCTAGTTCCTTCTCAACCTCCAGCATCCGGACCTACCCTACTGTCACCGGTACCATTAGTTGAAACTGCTTCTGACAGCAATGGAGGAAGCGTTGCTCCAGAAGTGATTTGATTTTTCTTCTTTATTAATCTCTTTTTGTCAGTATTGTAGATTTTTTCAGATTGGAAGTGATGCTGGTATAGGGTACAGAAATCGGCGCCGTTTCCGTCTTCGCCACGCTCTTCGCTCACGTCGCCTTTGAATCTCGAGTATATAAAGCAATTCATACAGTTCTGTTGTGATAAAAATTTTTAATGAATTATGCATATTTTGAGTGTGGCTTTCTTCTGCTCATACGCTAAGGGATGCACAAATTTGGTAGAAGCTGTGTATTTCAAGCAGCGGAGCAGCAACATTACATTCTTCATAACTTACACTACACCCCTCGTGGCTGGCTTCGGTAAGGGAATGTCACTATAAAACTGTGTTCCACGTTATGCCCAGTGCAGAACTATTGCTCTTATCGTAAAGAGTGACGCTCCTAGAGCCTGATGTCGCCAGTTTCACGGATTTAAATTAGGTGTCTGCTCTTGTCCTTAGTTATTCTGGGTTGGCCCAAAAATGCAAAAGCACTTTGCTTTCTTCGCTTCGCTTTTTGAAGAAAATTAGTACGCCAGAGTCACATCTCTCAGTCAAATTTCGCTCAAAGACTAATTTCATTTGTCGTTCCACTTTCTGCAAACAAGAACAATGAGAAGACAAATGTATAAAATAAATTTTTGAAATTAATCTCAGAATGGAATTCAAATTGATCACTTTTTGACTTTTGCCATTCGCCAGAAATGTTGTGACGTACCTAGATTAGTGACGTTAGACAGAGAAGAACCGTCAAAAGAATGAGATTCAATTTTGATGAAGATTGAAGTGGCCGAGGCTTATAAGCAAAATGACGTAATAAGTAAATGCGTCTTGAACATTTGTTTGGGAATTAAGCGATTGTAAACGCTTTCAAGCCAAGAAGCTCGCATAAAAAGTTTCATCATGGGTGGCTTTGAAGATGTTTAATGTTTCTTTTCGTAGTTTTGAGGTTCCTTTTATTTTAGAATTACCCAAAGTTGTCTCAGAAATGTTTTTTGAACCCTATACTGACTCAGACAATCTAAAAGAGCTTCCTCAAAGCTCCATCGGAAGTTTTCTCAAGTTACCTGCGAAACATTAGCATCATTTTCTCGGAAATACCATTCAAGCATTGCGGAACTCCCAATCAAGTCCTTTCCCGGACTATAGATGAAACCCTACGGAAGCTCGGCTTGCACTAAATAGGGAATGCGCAGAGCCTTCAATTGTTAGTTTGTTTACACCATACTCCACTATGTGCAACAACAGAAACAAAACTAGATATTTATTTCACGGAAATGTACATTATGTGTAACATGGTGGGTCAATTTTTGGCAAGAATATGCAAAATCCTCAAAACAACGTAATTTATAAATCTCAGTAGAGTGATTTTGTCACCAGCAGTCGATGCGGCATAAATAAGTGAGTCACCAGAGTATAACAGAATGAATCAGCATAAATCTCAGCAGAGTTCAGAGCTACCAGTAATTAGTGAGGCAATGCTGAGTTAGTGGAGTAT